TTTTGTTACTGGACTCTTAAACTGTGAATTGCCATTTGACTTTTTTTTATAATTTCTGTCTCTTTATTGATACTCTCTCTTTGGTGAGGCATTGTCATTATAGCTGCCTGTTTTTTAATTTTTTAAAAAACTTATATGTATATTTATTTTTTTAAAGGATTTCCTTTTTTAAAGAAGATATTTATTTATTTGTTTTTAGAGAGAGGGGAAGGGGAGTAGGAAGAGAAAGAAACATCGGTGTGTGGTTGCCTCTCATGTGCCTCCTGCTGGGGAATTGGCCTGGTGTGTGCCCTGATTGGGAGTTAAACCAGTGACCCTTTAGTTCACAGGCTGGCACTCAATCCACTAAGCCACACCTGAATTTATATATTTTTAAATTGAGTTTATTGGGATAACATTGGTTAACAAAATTATATAGGTTTCAGTTGTACAGTTCTATAATACATCATCTGTGTATTATATTGTGTGTTTACCACCCAAAGTCAAATCTCCTTCCATCACCATTCATTCCCCCCTTTACCCTCTTCTACCTCCCCTCTCCCTTTGCTCCCTTAAGCATGGTTTCCTTTTGTTCTTCGAACATGTTTGTAATGGCTCTTTTGAAGTTTTTTTCTATTAAATTTAAATCTGGGCTTTCTCACTTTCTGTTGCCTGCCCTTTTCCTGTGCAGGAGTCACACTTCCTTCTTTGCACAGCTTCATAATATTTTGTTTAAAATTGGACATTTTAGGTATTACATTGTAGCAGGTCTGGATACTGATTTTCCTCCATTCTCTGGGGTTTGTTTTTTTATTGTTGCTTATGTATTTGTTTAGTGACTTAGCTAAACCATGTTAAGGAAGTCTGCTTCCCCCTGCAGTATGAATCCTTTATCACTCAAAGAGCTCAACCTTGGGTATGCCCAGTCACCTTGTGTTGACAGTGGTTTTAGCAGGGCCCTCTTTGACTTTATTTCTCCTTGATTTCTTGGTTAAACTGCCTGCCTAGTTTGGCATCAAACCCACCTATTGATGCTCCACTAATTACTAGCCAATTGGTCTGTTGTTTTCAACAGTGCCAGGTGCATAAATTATTCCATAGTCTGATTGAATTAAATTTGGTCAGGTGTAGACTTTGAGGCATGTCTCTGATAATTGCTCTGACCCCAGGAGGGCTTTCTTAGCTGTGTCTTTCTCTGTCTTTCCAATGAAGTAACTGGCTTATGTTTGTTGCTCTTAATAGGAAGTATTGATTTTAAGATATCCCTTAAGCTTGAGCTTTCCCACACTCTGTTTTAAATAAAGTCATTTCCTTTGGGTTGAGCTTCAACTGGAGCCTCTGATCATCTTGGCTCAGCCTCTCCTGATGTGGACCCTATACCTTAAGAATGAACTGGGGCAGGGGCCATTGCAGTTTGAGGAGGAGGGAGTAATCTCTGCCTTCCGTGCTACTGGACTAGAGCTTCTGTTTTATGGGTACAGAAAGCCCCTAACTTTTAGCTGGCCACATTTACCAGGAGAAAGCCCTATGTTCTTGGCTGCATCCAACTGAAGTGAACTCTCCCTGAAGCTGAGGAGGGGAAGGAACAGGTCATGGCTCGAATGCTGCAGTCTGTTTGATTTTTCTTGAATAAATATTTCCTCATAACATAAAATTAAACCATTTTTAAATATACAGTTCAGTAGAGTTAAACATATTCACCTTGTTGTGCAGCCAGTCTTCAGCATTTGTCATCTTGCAAAACTGACTGTACACGTTATACACTAAGCAACGCCCATCCCTGCCAATACCACCTACCTCACATAAGTGTGATCGTACAATATTTTCTTGTGATTGGTTTATTTCATTTAGCATGTCATCAAAGTGTATTGATGGACAGCATTTGTCAGAATTTTCTTTTTAAGGCTGATTGTATGTATAGCTCACATTTTGTTTATGCATTCACCAGGACACTTAAGTTGTTTCCACCTTTTGGCTATTGTGAATAGTGCTGCTTATAAACATAGGTCTACGAATAACTCTCTAAGATCCTACTTTTAGTTCTTTCATATATACCCAAAAGTGGAATTGTGAGGCCGCATAGGAATTCTGTTTTTAATTTTTTGGACTGTTTGCTGCATCAGCTAGAATCATACTATATTAGCCATCATACTATATTAGCAGCAGCAGTGCAAAAGGATTCTAGTTCCTCTACATTCTTGCTGACCCTTTTTTAAAAATAATAGCTTAAGGAGTATAAAATGGTATATCATGATTTTGATTTACACTCTCCTAATAATCAGTAATTTCGAGCATCTTTTCATGTGTTTATTGCCCATAATGTATCTTCTTTGGAGAAATCTGTTTAAAGCTTTGTAAAATCTCTGTTTCAGCTCAGATTTCTTTTATCCAGGATATTGGAAGGCTTCCTCTGAAGCGACACTTTGGAAGGTAAGCTGATGATCTTAATTTTCAGAGCTGTTACTGAAATGTCCAATGAGTATGTTATCTGTTTTTTCAATATACAATCAATAAATGTTATCTGTAAAATTCAAGAAATACATGTTGAGTGCATTGATTAAAGACCATATGATTGCATTGTAGACTCATTATTTTATTACATATAAAAGCATAGTTATACCAGCTTACCATTGAGTATCAGACTAAATAGAATCATGGGATCATGATGGCAAGGGGATCTTTAAAATCATCTAGTTCAGCAACTCTTGCATATCCGGGAACCCCTTTTCAGCTTTCCTAGCAAGAGATTTTCTTAGCCTATATTTGAAGCCTGCAATGAAATGACCGGAAACTACCTCATAAGCACTCTCATTTTCTTAGCATAAAAATTCAGACAAATGAGAAAATATAGATACTATAGAGAGATAAACATATCTATACATTTTATCGCAGAATTGTTTCCGGGCTAATATCAGTGATTAACACACTAATTATATTTCATTTCTATTTTGCCTATTTGTAAAAATCAAATTATGCCCTCAGGCATTTTAAAAGGATTAAAAAGGGTTCATTGCTGTTATTGGTTCACCTGCTTGATCTGACTTGGGAGGCAGGATTCGTCAGTAATACTTATCACAGTGACTAGTACTGTTCTCTTTCACTTATGATGACCACATTTAACATCATCTTTGATTCATATTGATATTAACTGAATATTTTGCTTATATTTAATATTTTAATAGCTGCGTAGTTTCCTATAATTCAACCTGTACCTTGTTTTGATACATTTAGCTTACCTCGACTTTTATCACAGCCCTTTTTATAGCTAAATCATCATGTACATCAAATACTATTTATATAGGATGAATTCCTAAAAAATTAAATGGCTGGATCAATGACATACATCTTTCTGAGGCCTTTGCACTGTATTGCCAGATTGATTCCAAGAATATGTTGACAATTTTATGCCCTTTTACAGTGTATCAGCATGGTCCCTTACCACCACTGGGTTTTATTATTTTAAAAGGTCTTTGCCAGTTTAAAAGATGACAGTAGTAGCTTATTAATTGTTAGGTAGCTTATTATTTTAATTTCCATTTAAAAATTAGAAATCAGATCATACAATTTAGTTAACATTGGTTTTTTTTCTGTGAGTTTATATTTTTGCCCATTTTCTCTCTATTTTTTTTTTTAGTTTGTAAGAACTCTGCTAATAACATTAATCAACTTATTTGTATCATAAGTTGTAATGGTTTATTTGCAGTTTATCATTTACCTTGTACTTTTGTTTCTGTTGTTCAGTAAATTAAAGGGCCTGGCTAAGTAGTGAGTAGAATAAAGTGAAAGAAAGCTTCAGGATATGGCTTCATAGTCTTCATTCATGCTCATGGTGTAATTTAAAGGAGCCCCCTCCTTTGGTTATTTTTAATGCTTGCATTATGAATCTGACAGATTAAAAATGGAAGCCCTGACTGACAGGGAGCATGGAATGATAGACCCAGAAGGTGGATACGAAGCCCAGCTTAATGGCCGACAGCCCGCGGAGGAAACTCTGGATGAACCCACTCAAACCACAGAATCTGAATCCTGGTCTCTTCCTTTGAGTCAGAATAGTGGGAACGAACTGCCTGCCAGCCAGCCCCAGCCCTTTTCAACCCAGGGAGACCTGGAAGAAGAAGAGGTGGCGATAGAAGACTATGAGAGCGATGGGACATAGGAAGCAGCCCACCAGTCACATTGCTGCTTGGGAGATTCACATTAGCTTTATTCAGTGGCACTTGAACAGAGACAATACATTTCTCAAGTGAATTACAGTTTAAGTCTTCACTGTTGTATTTTCACACAAGAAACTGACTCTTGAAGTAAGTAGAAGATTGAGCCTTCAAATATAGTATCTTCGTTTTTTTCTCTAGTATTTATTTAATCTTGTTGAGTGCTGTTAGGAGAGTTCAGTGTATATGAAGTGTGTTCGAACATTATGCCAAATATCACAAAATGTGAAGGAATGATCCAGAATACAAAGTTTATAGGATTGTAAATACAAATTTTAAAAGTTTATGCAATTATGAGTGTAAATAAACTTTGTGCCTTAATCACACTTATAGTCTCTAGCTTCTCGGATGCCTTTTAGTATGTTGTACAGTGGAATATTCTAGATACTTTTTGGAAAGAATTACATAATTTATATAAAAATTAAAATGTTGAATTTCTTTTTATTTCTCCTTTTTTTTAATATTCCTAACATGTACTGTCTGTGGTATATCACTGGGCATAGTATGTCAATCTCCTTCATCCAGAGTCAGACTTTTTAAAACATGGGGAAGAGGGTGGCCACCTTGCTATGACTCTCGGAGGGGTTAAGCTCACCCTTAACCACCTCTCCCCCGCCTCCGGCTGGGTGGGGGGCGCGCCAACTGGCGGGAGCTCCCAGCGGGAGTCCTGACAAAGCCGGGCGGGGCAGGGCTTGGCTCGGCCCCGCCCCGGGAGCCCGATCCCGGTTTCGCTGCCGCGGGCTGCTGGCGCGCTCTTCCGGCGGCCGCACAGGTGAGGAGGGTCCGAGGGGTGGGGCTCAGGTGAGCCGGCCCGGGCCCGGAGGGGCTGGCGCCTTCCCCGCAGGTGTGCGGGGCGGGAGGAGCTTCTCGGCGCCTCGGAGATTCCTGGGCCCGCGGCGCTCAACGCCCAGCCCCGCCATAACCTGCGGGCGGAGGCCGGCGCCCTGGGTGGTGAGGAGGAAGCGCGGCCCGGGGTCCGGAGGGCCCGGTGTCACGCCGGGTCTCACTCGGGAGACAGGTGCGCCACACGCGGGCCGCGCGCGCCTCTGTTCCGGGCGCGGGGATCCTGGTTACTGGGAGTCAGGCATTGCTGAGCCGGCTTAGTTCCGGCCACTTTGGGGCGGAATCTGGAAAGACCGAGAGTGGATTTTCGCTCAGAGACTCAAAGACGGTGCAAGCACGCAGTGTGGGCAGAGCACAGGGACCGAGCGAGGTAGGTGCACGCGTGCCGAGCAGCCGAGTCGGGAAACGCCGGAGCGAAGACGATCCGTAGCCCGTGGCCCCTCATTTGTGGGTGAAGTTGAAACCCTCGGGACTTTCCCAGCCCCCCTGGAGGCCCCCAAACATCCGAAATCTGCCCCTTTCGTGGGCCCGGTAAAATTTTACAGCCTGCTTTAGCAAGCGGTGGCTCTGTTTGTGTAAAGGTGACCAAATTCGATTCCTGGGACACTTTGTCGGGAGAGCTGGAGAGGGCGGGAGCACTTCTCTCACCGCAGTGGCTTTCCCACAGAGGTGTCCCAGGGGACGCAGTGAGCGTTCGGGCCTGGACAAAACGAAGACCCACTGCACCTCTGCGTGCCTAGTGGCTCCCAGTGACACCCTCTATCCGCAGGTTTACCATGTGCTACAATACAGCTGACCCCTTCTGACGTCACATATTTTGTTCTTCCACAAATCTTCAGATTTATATATATTTTGCTTTTTATTTAAACACCGATAGGGTGATCTAATTCAAATAAGCCACCTTTCACAGGTGCAGATACATCCTTTACAATTAGAAGCGCATCTCTTTTTTTTTTATGCTAGTGAATTAAATTAAGCCATGGGGTATCCTTTAAATGTATGTACTTTATAGTATAGATATTGAGAGCTGTTGTGTAAAATTTGCTAAACTTATTTGTTGTGCTTTTACTTCTACTTTTCTTAGGAAAATGTCTTTCAAAACTACAGTAGTACTTTGCATTATAGAATTTAAACTTTTCAGATAAAGATAAGAAACAGAGACAACAGTTAATTACTGTCATTTATAGAGCTTCTACTTTGCTTTGGACACCTTGCTGGGCCTATCATAGTTAATTCTTTAAAACTGGAGTGCCCCATTTAGAAGACCCCCAAATGTAAACTCCATCTCTACCCTGGATGATTCTGTCGCCTGTGGCAGCATGTGCCCTTCTGTATATAGCTGCCTACTTAACATCACCTGGATTTCAAACTCTCTGAAGGCTTCTCCCCAAGGCTACACTGGAGGAGTGAAATGTTGCAGGTGAAATGATCTGATGTCGGGTTTGCTTCCAAGTATTGTGTTGACAGAGGGAATAAGGCAGGGGATATAGATGCAACAAGATTGGTCATAAATTGATAATCACTGAAATAGAAGTTAATGGGTATGTAGGAGTTCGTAATACTGTTCTTTCCACTTTTATTAAGTTTGAAAATCTCTATTAAAAAGTTTATCTCCATTGCTACCACCATCGCCCACTGGATTATTTCACTGGCCTCCTAGCCAGTCTCCATGTTTTCACACTTGTCTCCTGTAGTGTACTCTCAACATAGCAACTGGAGAGATCCTATTAAAACATGGCCAGTGTGGCTCCGTTGGTTGGAGTGACATGGTTGGGAGTTCGATCCCCAGTCATGGCACAGGTTGAGGGTTTGGGGTGTGTACGGGAGGCAACCAATCAACGGTTCTCTCCCACATGGATGTCTCTCTCCCCCCACCCTCCCCCCAAAAGTCAGATGTGTCACTTCTCTACTCAGAATCCTCCAGTGGCTCCTTATCTCACTCCCAAATAAAAGCCAAAATCCTTTCCAGTGGTTTTCAAGGCCCTCACGACTCACATGGCCTCAATTCTACATCTCACTCACTCTGCCGCGGCCACACTGGCCTCCACGCCCTAATAGTCCAACACGCCAGGCACTCTTTCCAGGCCTTTGCACTAGCTGCGCCATCTACCTGGAATACTTCCCCCTGGAATACCTGCCTGGCTTCCTCCTTTATCTCCTTCATTTCTACATTCAGATGTCACATTCTCTATGAAAACTTCCTTGGTCATTCTATTTAACACCCTGTTAAATAGGAACCGAGGGAATACATGTAACACCCTGCCCACAGTGCACTCCTTATCCCCCCTTTTTTTCCCTTATCCCCTTTCTTAACTTTGTTCCTTAAAGTTCCTTATACTTCACTCCCCTTATCTATCATCTGTCACTCCCCACTGGAATATAAGCTCCACAAAGACAAAGATTTTAGTCAGCTTCATTCACTGGTATACTTTCAGCATGGTACACAGCACTGATACGCCAGGTATGTGGCAGGTGTTTGGTAAATATTTATTGAATGATCAGTCTCCATTTTACAAAGTAAAATAAAACAAGCCTTAGGAATTTCTAAATAGTTCAATATCATTAGGTGGAATTATCCTTTTAAATTGTGACACCGCCTGCATAGTGTCAAGTACAATGCCATGTGCCCAGTGAGTCTTCAAGTAAATAAACACAAGCAATTTGAGGGAGAAATTCATGTGCTGTAAACCTAGTAGTTACAGTAGCAAATGCTTCCCTCCTTTTTGTATTTGTGTCCACATTATTGATTTTATGAAGGAAATCAAGTTTCATAAAAGTGCTTTTCTACGCTTTATTTTTTTAGGTGGATTGAATACCCTCTAGGGTGACTTCCAAGTCTCCATGGCAACAGCAATTGCTCTTAGATAATTGCTTTGGAAAGAGTGATATACATGGTCATTGCTGCTGTTCTGTTTTGTACTTTTGGGGACTCTTTACCTTTGGTGACTTTTTTTCACTGAGAAGCCAGTTATAAAATCTAGTATCAAGTGTTACTATTTTAGAGTGGGAGGGGCCATGCCCCTAGACTGACTTTCCTGACGTAGAAAGGAAAGGGGCTCTTCACTCCCTGTGTTTAACAGGCTGCTTCTCCTGGGCCATTCATTCCAAAGCAAATTTGAGTTAATGAAAATGAGGAGTTATTTGCTGACCTATCACATTTTGGTATGCTTACACTCTTAAATATTTTGATTTAGCTGTTTGAGGAAAGGACTCTACTTGGAATGTGGTAGCATCCTGCTTTTTTAAAATTTAGTCTTATTTTTGTTGTTTTATATTTGGTTATTTACCGAGCTCATACATAAGTTAGACATAAATTTAGAGCTAACATTTAAAATTTTGATTACCCTTAAAATTGTATAGAATGATGACTGTATCTCTGGCTAACATTAATTGTTACATATGTTTAAGATATACATATTTATGTTGTCATTTTTTTAAAGTTTTTATTTATTTTTAGAGCAGGGAAGGGAGAAAGAGAGGGAGAGAAACATCTATTTGTGGTTACCTCTCGCATGCCCCCTACTGGGGACCTGGCCTGCAACCCAGGCATGTGCCCTGACTGGGAACCCTTTGGTTTGCAGGCTGGCCCTCAATCCACTGAGCCACACCAGCCAGGCCTATGTTATTATTTATATATCATAATAGACATGGCCATATTGGTTTCCTGAATGTGATCATTGACTAAGTGAATTAAATCAGCCTCATTGAAATAATAAAAAAGTAAGTGTAAATGATAACTTTAATCTTGGCCACAGGTCTGAAATCACAAATGTCGTCAAATGATGGACGATCCAAGAATAGGCACTACGATGAGGTCCCAAGGGACCTGGCCTATGAAGATGGCACCATAAGAACCCTGCAGACTCTTCGTGACAGTGAGCTGGCTGTGAGCGCAGATCCTTTGCCACCACCCCCTCTCCCATTACAGCCACCATTCGGGCCTGACTTCTACTCAAGTGACACAGAGGAACCGGCTATAGCACCGGATCTCAAACCTGTAAGACGCTTTGTGCCTGAGTCCTGGAAGAACTTCTTCAGAGGGAAGAAAAAGGACCCAGAATGGGATAAGCCTGTGTCAGACATCAGATACATCTCCGATGGAGTGGAGTGTTCACCTCCAGCGTCTCCAGGGAGAACAAACCACCGTTCACCCCCCAACTCCTGCAAAGATCCCTACGGAGGGTCAGAAGGAACCTTTAATTCCCGGAAGGAGGCTGAAGCGATGCTTCCCCAGGATTCCTATGGATCTCTAGGCCGACACACACAAACAGCTCTCACATACAGTGAGAAGGTGGAGGCATATAACCTGAGGTATTCCTACATGAAGTCGTGGCCTGGCCTGCTGAGAATTCTGGGTGTGGTGGAGCTACTTCTGGGGGCCGGCGTCTTCGCTTGTGTCACAGCTTACATTCACAAGGACAGTGAGTGGTATAACATGTTTGGCTATTCCCCCCCCACTGCCGTGGGAGGCATTGGTGGCCTGGGCAGTATATATGGGGGCTATTACTACAATGGCCCCAAAACTCCTTTCGTGCTCGTGGTGGCTGGATTAGCTTGGGTCACCACCATTATTATCCTGGTTCTTGGCATGTCCATGTATTATCAGACCATTCTTTTGGACTCTAACTGGTGGCCCCTAACTGAATTTGGAATTAATGTGGCCTTGTTTATTTTGTATATGGCCGCAGCCATAGTCTATGTGAATGATATCAACCGAGGTGGACTCTGCAACTATCCATTATTTAACACGCCGGTGAATGCAGTGTTCTGCCGGGTGGAAGGAGGACAGATAGCAGCGATGGTGTTCCTGTTCGTCACCATGATTGTTTACCTCATTGGTGCTTTGGTTTGCCTCAAGTTGTGGCGGCACGAGGCAGCCCGGAGACATAGGGAGTGCGTGGAGCAACAGGAGGTAAGGCATTTCAGTCCTTGTTCTTTTTATTTCTATTATTCACTCCTTTGTTAAATATGGATTCTCAAAACAAAGATTTTTACAGAAGCCTCTTTTAAGAAAATGAGGTGAAGTTCAAAAGCCCTAGCTCAGCATCTGACATGCTGTGACTGGGACAGCCCACTCTGATGGGTCACTGTTGTCAGCCTTCCAGGCAGACACCAGATACGTAATGTAATTTAGAGTTTGTTGCTGCATTAGTATGTTTTTCCAGTGCCTAAGAAAAAAACATAGCTACTGAATTCCTGAAAAGAAAAAGAACATACTCAGTAATAAAATGTCTCATCATTAAAGTAAGTTTGAGGACAATCTTGATACTTTAGCATGGCGAGATAATAAAAAACATAATTTTTCAGTTAGAGGAGGAAAGTGTTCACTTAAATCTGTTACGGTGAGTTCCACTTTCTTGCAGTGAGTTAAACAAAGTCCAGTAAGAATGTGGTGAACCACATGTGATTTTTTTCCTAAATATTGAAAAGTTGGGTTGTGAAAAACATACTCTGAAAATTTACTCAGGCATTTTGATGTTTTGTCCTTATTTTAGGTAGATGAATGCTCCAATATTAGAATGGGAGCCATGTACTTGATTTCAGTTCTAAGATTTAACTAATTAAATATACAAAGGAGAAAGAGGGAGAGGATTAATAATAACATCTAGAGGATAAGACTGTATCAAAGCCCTATTTAAAATAATTTTTTTAAACAGTAGCAAAATGTTAAGAGATGTTCTGCTAGCTTCATTATACTCTGAAATAAGTTAATGTTTTGCTTTCTTCTTCTAAGGAGAAGTGTCTAGTAGAATTTCCTCACACTGATAATGTCAGTATTTAACTTTTAAAAAAAATATGTTTTATTGATTATGACATTACGGTTGAGCCATTTCCCCCTTCATACCCCTCTACCCTGTACACCCCTTCCCCCATCATGTGTCACGAATTCTTTAGATTCTATGTTTCCCACACTGTTCTTGCCCTCCCCCCTGTCTATTTTCTACCTACTGCCTATGCTACTTATTCTCTGTACCTTCTCCCTCCTTCTCTTCCTCCCACTCCCCTATTGATAATCCTCCAGGTGATCTCCATTTCTATGGTTCTGCTCCTGATCTAGCTGTCCTCTTAGTTTGCTTTTGTTTTAGGTGTGGTTGTTAATAATTGTGAGTTTGCTGTCCTTTCACTGGTCATCTTTTTTTATCTTCTTTTTCTTAGGTAAGTCCCTTTAACATTTCATATAATTAGGGCTTGCTGATATGAACTCCTTGAACTTGACCCTATCGGAGAAGCACTTTATCTGCCCTTCCATTCTAAATGAAAGCTTTGCTGGATAGAGCAATCTTGGTTGTAGGTCTTTGGATTTCATGACTTGGAATACTTCTTTCCAGCCCCTTCTTGCCTGGAAGATCTCTTTGGAGAAATCAGCTGACAATCTGATGGGAACTCCTTTGTAGGTGACTGTCCCCTTCTCTCTTGCTGCTTCTAGGATTCTCTCCTTCATTTTAATCTTGGCTAATATGATTATGATGTGCCTTGGTGTGTTCCTCCTTGGGTCCAACTTCTTTGGGACTCTCTGAGCTTCCTGGATTTCCTGGAAGACTATTTCCTTTGCCAGATTGGGGAAGTTCTCCTTTATTATTTATTCGAACAAGTTTTCCACTTGTGGCTGTTCCTCTTCCCCTTCTGGTACCCCTATAATTCGGATGTTGGAACTTTTAAAGATGTCCTGGAGGTTCCTAAGCCTCTCCTCATATTTTTGAATTCTTGTTTCTTCATTCTTTTCTGTTTGGTCCTTTTTTTCTTCCTTCTGGTCCACTCCATTGATTTGCGTCTCAGTTTCCATCACTATTGGTTCCCTGTGTATTTTGCTTCATTTCACTTAGTGTAGCCTTCATTTTTTAATCTAATTTGTGACTATAATCAACCAGTTCTGTGAGCATCCTGATCACCAGTGTTTTGCACTCTGCATCCAATAGGTTGGCTATCTCTTGGTCGCTTAAAAATATTGGCTTTGGGGCTTTGAGCTGTTCTTCTTCTTGAGCCATAATGTTTTGGTCAGGTTGTGCCTGTTGTGTATGAGGGGCAGAGCCTTAGGTGTTCACCAGGGCAAGGCGACCCAGTTGCTGGGTTGTGACACTGTATGTGGGGCTGGAGTCAGAGAGGGGCAATGGCATTTATTCCACGCTCTCATGGATTTCGGTCCCCTCTGCCACTTCTCACAAGCAAATTGGGCCCTTCTGGTGCTGGTTCCCAGGTGTGTGGGCTTGTGCACCCTCCAGGACCCTATGGGTCTCTCCAACGAACTCTCTGTGAGCCTGGGAGCCTTTCCCGGCACCTTAACCCCTGGAAGTTTTTCCAATTGGTGCTTTTAGGCTTTAATTCCCATTGCTGGGGCCCTGGTTTGCACGGTCTGTCTCATTGTTGGCTCCTTTGCCTGGTTTATCTGTGTGTGAATGTGTGACCGTGGCCAGCCAGCTGCCTTGTGCCCCCACTGGGTCTGCCTGTTGCCATCCCACACCTGGGATCTGCCAACCACAGCCTGCACTCCTGGGTGGGTCTGGCTCTTTTTCCTGCAGGACACCTCTCCGACATCTGCCAACTCTGCCCCTCTTACTTGTCTGGCTGAATGGTTCGTTGTTGTCGGACTTAGGTACAGTTCAATTTTCTGTCTGTTTTGGTTGCATTTTTGTTACTAAATCTTTGTTGTCTTTAAACTTGCTTGTGCGAGGAGGCACAGTGTTTCCACCTACACCTCCATCTTGGCTGGCAGTCTAATTTTTTCCTTAATGTTAATTATATTCTTCATCTTTTCCACATATCTCCTTATACTATATAATTGCACATGGTGTACACAGGTGCGCAAAAGCAGGTTTACAGTTGTAATACAAATAAATAATACAATAATTAATAAATAGCGATACAAGAACAAACCATTTCACGTACTCACAACTGTAGACCTACTTTTGCCCCACCCTGCATATTGGGCAAAACTGTAGATAAAACAATGAACTCCTATCCTTATTTACTCAATAACCTATTTATTTACTCACTGACCTATATACTTTTTTACTCTTTTATAGGAATCTTATGCATGACAGCAACAAAAAACTTGGTTAAGTTTATAACAAGTACCTTATGATTTATGGAGAACCTCAGCATGTTTCAATGTGATTCATATTCTTTTGTCACAAAATATATTAATCTTACTAGAACTTGACATAGATATAAGTTTTTTCTAAAAGTTTGCCTTGGCATGTTAAGCATATTTCTTAAATTTACGTCTGTGTTATACAAAGTAAAGAACTTTAAATTGTAATCAGTGTGAAATCTAGGTAGTGAAATACACACATCCTCATATAATTTTATGTAAATTTAATAACAATACAATTCTTAGTGTCATTTCAAAATTCGACATTATCTATAATTGTCAACATAATACTTTCATTCTTTTTCCTTTGTCAACAAAAACTTGTTTCTATCAGACTCTTCCTAACGGCTGATTAGACTGGACTCTCCTCTGATGCTGGAGGCTGTGCCTCTTTGTGTCGCTGTGTCTTCCTGAAAGTTAGAAGATGTCATGGCCTGTGGCTTTTTTCTATTAATTTTATAATGTAACTGTCTTAGGCTCTTTAAATGTGCAAGGTAATGGGAGCCAAGAATAAAGAAATCAGGGTGACTCGGCACAACTTACCTGATAGTCTCAGCTATCTCCAGGTTTCTGCCTCTGCTCTTCGTTCCTGACTGACAGGGAATGACAGTTATCCCGTCCCCTCTGGTTCGCCACCGGCCCATCGAAACCTGGCCAAAAGAGTAGAGGAACATCTGGAAAGTAGAGACTCAACCTCTGTAGAATGGAGATTGGACTGTAAATTCAGGTGGATGACAGTGTTTGCAAAGTAACTTCACATGCCTTTGAAAAATCATTTTAACTCTCTTTGTTCCAGATAAGCGAGCCATCATTTTCATCAAAAAGGAAAATGGTAAGGAAAAAACTTCACATTATATATATATATATATTTTAATATTTAAATATTTATTTATTTTTAGAGAGAGGAGAAGGGAAAGAGAAAGAGAGGGAGAGAAAAACATCAATGTGTGGTTGCACTCCATTCTGGGGACCTGGCCTGCAACCCAGGCATGGGCCCTGACTGGGAATCGAACTGGCAATGCTTTGGTTGGTAGGCCCGCGCTCAATCCACTGAGCTACGCCAGGCAGGGCCTCACATTATATTTTATCTCTAGATTTGGTGAATACTTTTCTCTCTTGTCTGTAAGTCTACAGAGTAGATCATCTGTCTGTGAAAGTGTATCTGTTACATGGAGTTCCTAAAAGGCTTTTCAGCTTTTTTCTAATATAAAAAGGACCAAATTAGATAAGGTTATTAATAGTTTCTTTAAATTTTGTTAGATGAGAAGTTATATAAGTGAATGTTGGTTCTCCTTCTATGTTTAAATTTTAACCTTTTTTTAAGTGAAGGTAATTCTCCCAAACTTTCTGCAGTCTCTTTAAAGTTCTTTCAGATGCCAAATTTTGTGTCAGGAAAGAAATTTCTATTCTACCACTTACTAACTGTATGGTAATGAGCAGGTGTTTAACCTTCTAATGCCTTGGTTTCTTCATCTGGAAAATTGGAATAATAATACTTTCTACTCACGAGATTGCTGAGATGATTAAATGAGATGCCATTATTATAGTTATTTGCATATATAATTTAATATATTTTAATCATAATTTTATCTCATTGAAAAGTCCTCTCATTTTTCTTTAAATCCTGACCCAAGTTATATGTTTATTGAATTTAGAGAAAGAGGAAGGGAGGGGTAGAGAGAGAGAAACATCAATATGGGAAACATCAATCAATTGCCTCCTGTGCATGTCCTGCCTGGGGATCGATTGGGGATCAAACCCGCAACTTAGGTATGTGCTCTGACTGGGGATTGAACCTGCAGTCTCTTGGTGTACAGGATGATGCTCCAACCCATTCAGCCACACAGCCAGAGCAAAAAGTTCTTTAAGATATAGGTATTATTTCCAAGCAAAAGTTGAGAATTCAAATCACTGCTTTGTTTCTTTCTTTGAAGAGATAGCATATTTACTTGGTTCAGAATTCAAAAGAAGCTTTAATACAAAGCCTTCTCTCACTCCTGTACCTTGGCTCTCCAATTCTCCTGCTTGGAGGCAGCCAGTGTTATTAGTCTCTTGTGTTTCCTTTTGGAAATGTGTTATGTATATATTCACTCTCCTCCCCCATTTACCTGAAAGGTAGCATACCATATGCACTGTTATGTTCCTTAATTTTTCCACAATACATTTCTAAGATGTTTTCCTATTAGTACATAAAGACCTTCTGCTTTCTCTTTTTATAGCTACACAGTATTTCATTATGTGGATGAATCATAGTTTATTTAACCATAAATGAACATTTAGGTTATTTCACTATTAAAAACAATCTTATAGTGAATAACCTTATACATATAAGAATATGCTTGTGCAAGCTTCCTTTCATATATTTTGATTGTCAGATTGTCCAATAGAAATTTTACCAATTCCCACTCCTACAACACGACAGGCCTCCTCACCCCCTGACTAACACAGGGTGTTAGGAACTGTGTCAACATCAATCTAATAGCTGAAAACCAGTATCTCATGTAGTTATAATTTCCTTTCCCTTCTCAGGAGTGAGGTTCAGCATTTTCCTTGTTATGTTTGCCTTTCCTTTTCTATTAACTGTCATATCCTGTCCAGTTTTTTTTTGTTGTATTGTGAATTCATTCAAGCCCTTTGTTAAGTACATTCATTTTGAAAATACCTCTTATTGGTTCTTTTTAACTTTATTCTCTATAACACACAAATATTCTTTGAAAATATTCTCTTGATATGATGCACTGAGAAAAACACAGCATCACTTCTGTGGTGTTCTTGCCAAAAATACTTTGTTCGTGCTGAAATAGGGGATTTTATGAAGTGGGTGAACAGTCTGCCCAAGGGATCGTGATTAATACATCAGTGTTATCATTAATTAATTCATTGAACAAACACGTGCCAGTTTGGCTGTGGGCCAGTGATAGGAACACTACAAAGAGTATCATTGTGTATACATACATTCATACATACATACATGACGGTATGTATGTAATTGGGGTAAAAAACAGTGAGTATTATCTCTATTTTCCAGGGGCTTACAAATCTAGTGAAAAAGAAAAACACAGACACAAGATTATCGAGTGTGATTGTGTGAGTGTTCATGTGTGTGTGTATGAGAGAGGGGTCACAAGCATCGAGAACTATAAAATTAAACTAAATAATTTGCTTAGAGATTTGTATTTCTCTGACATCTCCTGGGAAAGTCGGTTTATAGATGATAATGTCCAGTTTGGCATTGTTAATTGGTCATCATTGAGGATCTGTAACTAGCAGCATTTTTTAAAGAGTCAGTTGCATTATTCCTGACATATATGTAAAGTCATCTGAATTGCAGCTGACAGGGTTCAGCAGCTTTCCTGGATTATTTTGGGTATTCATCACTCTTTAGAAATAAAAGACATCTGACCCATCCTGACTGAGCAGGCGTGGTGCAAAGGAGACCAGCAGAGTCTCTCTCACAAGGCGTGTGGACCTTGTGCTGCAAACCTGCGCACTTGCAACGTTGTTCAGAAAATTAGAGAGAGACTGCTGTACCTTGGGTGCGTGTGTGTGCTTCTTCATTTGTTTTATTTTTGTTTTAACTTCCCGCTTCCCCTGCGTTTTAGTTTTGTGTTCATTTATTCAACATTTATTGCTGTCAGGATATACATTTCAAGTGGACTTGTTCTAACTCAGAGCTAAATGGATGCTCAATTTTAAGCTATCTAAAATGTACATATCACATGTACCTGAAAGCAATTATAGTAGTCTCCTTTAGGAGGGCGCCGGGCCAACTGAGGGGAACAGGAATAAAGGGAGACTTTTCCTTATGTACCCTTTTGTACACTTTGAACTGTTATATAATATGTATATATTACCTATTAAAAATTTTTTAAAGTTTTTAAAAAATTAGGTTAATACTCATTTCAGATATTGAGATAAGCAAAAAGGCTGATGTTTAAATAGTATGCTGGCCCTTTTTTGTGTCATTTAAATGCGACCTTCCTAGCTAACCCTGTGGGTTGCCTTCCAGTGTTACTCCAGAGACGTTAGAGTGTGACCAGCTGGGAGTCATCCTGAGGCTGGTTTTGACGGATCATTGCCAGTGCTCTCCTTCAAGACTGCCAGCAATGCCTTAACCCACTAGTCACTCCTGCTGCCCCAGAGGGGCCGACTAGGAAAGTCACAGAGTCCACCCTGGCCAGGAATGTGTTGCAGCCTTGTCAGAGTCCTAAAATAATGGTCGCTGCATAACACGTTGAGTTCAAAGGACTGTGGTGTAGAAGATGGATCAGGATTAGAAAGACTGTATTAAAAAAAGGGGGGGGCCTAAAAACTTACATATGCAGAAATTCACTTTCTAAAAGCTGACTCTCATTAATAAGTGATGTCAAAATCTGGCATCTGAGTTGGCAAATCAGAGTGTGAACATTAGGAAATGTGTTTTAGAACATCCTTGGGGGCAGAAGAGAAGAATCTGTTTGCTTTGTGAGGTTAAAGGTGACCACTGTGCAGGTGTTGACTGCTCAGCACCAAACTGGCCTGTCGCTGAGCTGCAGTGTGGTGAGGATGTGGCAATGGTGGTCATTCTTGGCCAGGGTGGAATTTATGGGCTTCCTGGTCAGTCTCTTGCAGGTAGTGGGATTTACCAATGGGATTAAGTGCAGAATAAAGTAAAAGGCCTGTCTGAATTGGAGGAACGTACCCCACATGATAGAGTGGCCAGTGTCATTGGTGAGAATGTGGCTGATTTCACATGTGGGACAGGATTAGAAAGATCTGCCAGGGAGTTCAGGGTAGCTCCTTTGGGACACCCTAGGAGGTTGGTGTCCAGTGTGCCCAGGGGGTGCTGTGGGGTTCCAGATCCTGACAGGTCCTGGAATAGTCAGGAATAACTGTAGCAGAGATGGAACCCCCATTCCTGGGGACTCCTTTTAAAATTATATCAATCCAGTATATCCTTTTGAAGGCATCTTTTCCTGGGAGATGGATCACTGGGAGTCAGCACGTGTAGGTGTGTTTTATAGGCAGACCTCCATGAGAGGGAATATTATGACTTAACTGAGGATTCACCCTTGGACTTACCAATGAGAAACCTTGTACAAGAGCTTGGCTCTCCAGCTTCTTATTGGATACAATTTTTGCCTCCTTCCTCCTTAGTCCCTAGCAGGGAAGAATCAGCAGACTGCCTTAGGAGAGGCATGTAGTGTGATGAGGAGGAAATAAGCTTTGGGATCTGGCAAATCTGAATTTGAGTACAAGATCAGCTACTTACTAGCTTTGTGACCCTGGGTAAATTACTTGCTGTGTCTCTGAACTTCAGTTTTCTGTCACTCGTTGGAACTCTCTACCAGGCTTCCCTTGCTTGGTATTTACCAAATACAATTTATAAAAAGGAAACAAGATTATTTTTAAAAGAAATAATATACAGACATAAAGTAAGGTCAAATAGAGACAGAAATAAATTCTAATGAATCCCTAAGTGCTGAGCAGAGTTCTTTTCCCAAGCAAAACAAAAATCTAATTTAGGCATCACAAGTAATGGTGTGGGTTTGGGATCAGGGGTCTGTGCACCGTTACATTATACACTCAGAGGGAGGAAGAATCAGAAACTGGGAAATGGGCACTGGTTGGTGTTTTTGTTTTTTAAGCATTTATTTATTTATTTTTAGAGAGGGGAGAAAGAAATATTGATCAGCTGCCTCTTGCATGCTATGCTCCCCAACCAGGGACCTGGCCTGCAGCCCAGGCCTGTGCCCTGACCAGGAATTGAACCAGTGACCAGGCAGTTTGGGGGACAATGCTCAACCAACCCACTGAACCACACCAGTCAGGGCTAGCGTTCCCTATCTCTAACTTAACAGGATATTCATCAGCCTCTTTGTAATTTGAAAGACTTAATAATTATATACAAAGCATTACTTATCCTGTTGCTTAATTACTTTCTCTTGCCTCACAGTAAAGCTCCCCTGATATTTGCTGACAAAACTAGTTTTTACTAGAAGCAAAGGAAGGTTGTTTCTGGGGCTCTGTTCGTAATCAGGAATGCTGCTTGACAGCCGACAGACCCAGGGCTAGAGCCCAGAGCTTCCTTCCCACGGAAGCTTAAGGTGATTTTGGTTCTTCGTCTCATGTCTAGTTTCGAACTTGCCCCTGCTCCAATAGGGTTTTCTGAACTGATGATCAGTGAGGTTCACCCTAAAAATGTGGAAGAAAATGTTAAGGGCATAAAAACAAAACAAAAAATACAGCAGATGAAATAGTCTTTTTGGAAATATTCTGGCTTCTTAAAACTCCCTCTTTATATTCAAGGTTTATGTCTTAGAAATAGAGATGGACAAGTAAGGAAAATGAATAGTTCCTGCTTGAAAAAAACTTTAACTGGAAAAAACCCCAAACTTTGTGGACTCTCATGTGGACTGTTGTGCCCACTATGAGGACCTGGGCCGAATTCGTGACTCTGCCCAGGAAGCCTGAGCTTGCCGCCTGGGGCTGTTGCTGAGACTGCCAGGCCAGAGGTGTTCATGGCCGCTCCCTTGGCCAGCAGTGGGAGAAAGGGGTTGTTCAATAGTTAGAAGCTGGAAAAGGAAAGCCATGAAATAAAACTCTTTATGTAAGCCAAAATGTTCAACACCATAATTCATCGTCGAGATTAAACATATCAGCACTCATTAGAATGAAGAAATGGCATCCTCACCAGCGGATCAAAAAGCAGACTTTCCCCCAGGGTATTCTGCTCCCACTCAAATTCTTGCTGCTTTGGGCCCAGGGGCCCGGCGTGCCTTCCTTCACGGAGGCCATCTGGTTCCCCTTCACCTGGGAGCTTCTCCTTTTCACACCCCTCCCCCGCAGGGCTGGTGAGCACATCCGATCTCTAATCTGGGCTGTACTGTTTGGTGAGTTAAGAGCTAGTGGTTTTTCGAATGAGCTAATGTCAGACCGAACCTCAAAGACAGCCCCAGAAATAGAAAGTCAGGAAACAAGGGATTAAAAGCTGCCTGGCAAGGTTTTAAAATCTCATGTTATATTTGTTTTCGGTGGAGTAGGGGCTTCTGTCAGTTTAGTTTCAGTTTCATTTAACAAGCCTGAGGTGAGGGCCCCCCGGGGGGCAGAGGAGAGGCGCTGACTGCCCTAAGGGGATGGCAGTGCCCACCCCGCCCAGCACAAATTCATTTGTAGCATACTACCAGAGAACTTCGGGGAACTTCAGCATCGAGCAGTATACAGCTAACTACACCAGTTTCCTCGTGTAATTCATTGAAAAGTGTCAATGAGCCAGAAAGTTCTGGGTTTTAATCATGCCTTCACTCATAGCTGTGAGACCTTGGAGGAGGTACTAAACCTCTCTGAATCTGGCTCTGTTATGTGTAAAATGGAACTTCTTTCCTGGCATCCAGCAGCCTTACCAACTCAATGGTATTCTGGGCACTGCTTTAGTAGGGCCCTGAACACTCTTCCCAGCCAGCCCCAAAGCTGCGCATCCAGCTGAGCCTGCCTGTTCTGGGGCGCGTTCACCGAGCCTTCCACTCCTACTGCCCTTCTTTTGGCTGTTTTGGCTCTTAAAGTCTGTCCCCTGTACTTCCTCTCTGGGCTATTTCATCTTGTGTTCTTTTCCTTCTTTTGAATATACCATTGTTTACTAAGCAGGCCTTTAGGAGCTCTCCAGTGTAGAAACCAGGGTGACTTAAATCACCACCTGCAGGGTCCTCGTGACCTCTTCAGCAAATTGCAGGTTAGGGACACGTGGGCACATTAAAAATGTCCACTGTCTCTCTGGATTCTTTTTTTTTTAAGTATGTTATTTATTTATTTCAGAGAGAAGGGAAGGGAAGGAGAGAAACATCAATGTGTGGTTGCCTCTCATGTGTCCCGCACTGGGAACTGGCATGCAACCCAGGCATGTGCCCTGACTGGGAATCGAACTGCAATCCTTTGCTTCACAGGCCCACACTCAATCCACTTGAGCTACACCAGCCAGGGCTCTCTGGATTCTTTGCTTTCCTTTCAGATAATGAAAACAGTGCAGCGTGTATCTCTCTGACCCACTCAGTGGCTACTTGTAATTGCTTCATCACAGGTTCTGGTGTCATTTTTTTCTGATTCCACTTTAGTAGATTTGTTCCATTTTTGTTCCCCGAATTTATTTTGAATTGCATTTTTTATTCTTTTACAATTAGTTGAGGTATAAATCCAAAAAAAATAAGGTACTTAAGACCCCGGATTCCCCATTTCATCACCCATCTTTGACATGTACATGCTGGGGGTTGGAGGGTGTTCTACTTATGCTCGTCCACCTCTCAGTGTGAGTCCCTTTAGCTGTGACAGAAGGACTCAGAACAACTTTGTCAGTGTAAAACGTGTAATTCTGAAATGAGATGTTAATCGCTGTTCTGCTTTGCTTCTTGACTTTCCATTGTCTTCTAAGAATCAGTTCCGGTTTGTTTTTCTCCTGCCTCTGTTTGTAAACAAATCCTCTTTTTCTCCCAAACTGTAGTGTGAAATGGCCATTGGTGGTGATAGACAGAGAGACCAAGAAGTTAATTTCAAAGAATTGAGAGCAACAAAAATGAAACCTGAAGTACTGAGTAGACACATTCCCGCGGGCCACATCCCTAAACCTGTTGTGTTGCCTGACTATGTGGCGTGAGTATCTGTCTAAATCTTCACAATAGGAACGAGAGATTCCATTTGGGCTTTTTATTTTTCTGTTTGTCTCCAAGTTAATCCTCTCTGCCTAAACTCATCTGTATTTGAACAGTTGTTTGTTACCTAGGAGATAGTGTATTGAATTGAAGGTGCAACATGGTCAGTGAGGAATAAGCTAAGCCGATTTCCCATTCAGCTTGTTGTAGTGAAAAGTTATCACTTTGGTTAATTTTTTCCCTCAGAAAGTACCCTGTGATTCAGACAGATGATGAACGAGAACGCTATAAAGCTGTGTTCCAAGACCAGTTTTCGGAGTACAAAGAGCTCTCTGCAGAAGTTCAAGCCGTCTTGAGGAAGTTTGATGAGCTGGATGCAGTGATGAGGAGGTTGCCACATCATGCGGGAAACCAGCAGGTCAGTGTCTGCAGCTGCCTGGGAAGACTGGTAGTTAGGGAAGGAAAGATCCCACCTTTTTAAAATGCAGATGAGCCATAACCACATGCATCTGCTATCTGTCTAGGGAAGTCACTTGAGGTCTTCAAGGTGACTAGTCAGGATTACAATTCAAATTATATAATTTAACCTCTTTGGCCTTCAATTGTTAAGTAATATTTTGTTTTCTTATCTAAATGAAGTATGAATTTAACAAAGATACATACTGAGTCAATCAGGGTCCCAATGGAGACAGATGGCACACACAAATTAAGATATTTTGAGGAAGTTTTATTCACAAAGAAGTGGGCAGTGTGTCTAGGAGCCCCGAGGGGCTTTGCATTCTCCAGCAGCCAGTGATAGCTGGGTGGGAGCCACTCCAGGCCCAGAGAGCACAGGGAGAGGATGCAGAGTGGGTCTGAAGGTGCAGGCGTGAGCTCCCGGGCGCCTGAGTCAGTCTGAGGAGGGTGATCTTGGCAGAGAGGAAAGCCAGGTGGGGACGGCAGCACTTTCTGTGATGTTCTTTTTCTGTAAATGGCTTCTTATTTCATATTTTACACTTCATTTTTTAGCTAATGTACAAACTTTTATTGAAATACAATTCACACGCCATAAAATTCACCCTTTTTAACTGTATAATTAATGGATTTTGGTGTATTCACCAAGTCAAAGTCTAACAACCATCACCACTCTCTAATTCCAGAACACTTTTCTCACCCCATGAACAAGTAGCCCTTACTCCCATTCCCACCTGCCTCCAGCCTTTGGCAGCTGCCAGTGTGCTTTCTGTCTATGGATTTGCTTCTTTTGAACCTTTCATATAAATGCAGTGATACAATGTAGCCTTTTGTGTCTGCCTCCTTTCACTTGGTATAATGTTTTCAAGGTTCATCTATATCGTGTTGTAGCAAGAATCCGTACTTCGTTCTTTTTCATGGTGGGACAATAACATTCCATTATTGTGATATCCAGCTTATCGGTTGATGGACATTTGCGTTGTTTCCACTTTTTGACTATTAGAATAATGCTGCTATAAACATTTGCATGTACTATCCTGTCCTTTTTAAAGAGGATATATTAATTTAATCTATTACTTACATAATTAAAACTTTAAGAATTCACACAGTATTTTAAAATAATTTCAAAAAGGTTAATATATGGATATGTAATAGATATATGTTTTATATACACACACACACACACAAACATATATATATTCTTTTAGATCCATTAGTTGGGCATCCTTATTTTAACCACAGATTTAAGTGTGCATTTAAATCAGTTATAATTATGAGCTAGCTAAGCCAAGTGTGTATAGTAGTGGCATTTTCCCAATCCTGGAGCAATGGGATAATGTTGGCTAAGTGACACTAGTACCAGGAAGCAGGAAAAACCCAGCAACTACTACAGGTCAAGGGTCAATTAGTACCATTTGGAAAGCAAGCAAGGTCCACAGGTCCACAAAGGGTGACCACATTGACAGGCCCTCCAGGGAGTGTGGGAAGGAGCCAGTGGCCCCAGGAATCTGCATTAGCACAGGGTGGGAAGCTGAAACTGGTTGACAGACAGGATGCTGAGAAACCCAACTGAGACAGGTAGCTCTGAGCCTAGACCCAGTGGTCTCTGGGTTGAGGGCTTTGCGTGACTGGGCCAGGGCTCAGGCATGGCGGTCTGCGGTTGGGGCTGAGAGACTGAGTCCTCCTGTGACATCTCCACACGGTACCTACAGTAGTCGTGTCCTCCAGTTTTCAACATGGTATGGCAAGCAAGTAGCCCAATGACAAGGCCACACTTCCTCTCCGTGTCTCCTCCAGTCCTTATCTAAAGTAGAAATATTAATCGTAGCACAATGTTCACTTCTCTTTGGCCACAGGCGGAGGGAGCTTTGCTGTGGGCAGTCATCTGCCAGCGAGGCTCATTCATTCCCCAGCACGTCCCCAGGGAGCCACGTCAAAGCCCAGTGAGCTCGTGTGGAGGCACAGGTTCTCCCACCAACCTGGCTGTGGCCCTTGAAAACCGAAACAATCCCATGGCTTTTCTAAGCTCATAAAATACCAATATTGCTTGAAGTCATTCCTCTGGTTCTCCCCCTCTTAACTTCAGTTTCTCACTCAGATGCTAGAATAGGTTTTACCACTCTCCTCTCTCTGTGCATCTTTGGCACAGCAGCCCTGGCCCCAGGCGGCTGGTTTGCTCCCAGTCCAGGACCTGTTCCTATGGCTGACAGCTGCATCTCCAGGTTCATGTCTCTGCAGGCAGCCTGTGCAACACAAATACTGCTCATAGTTGTAGTCTGGAAAAGACATTGAGGAATTAAAATGTACTGGGAGAAGGACGTGGGTAAGTGATAGAAAATGTTCTCAGGGGGCCCTGGCTCGTGGATTGAGTACCGGCCTGCAAACCAAAGGGTCGCCAGTTTGATTCCTAGTCCAGGCGCATGCCTGGGTTGCAGGCTGGGTCCCCAACAGGGGGTGTGTGAGAGGCAGCCACACACTGATGTTTCTCTCCCTCTCTTTCTACCTCTCTTCCTCTCTGTCTAAAAATAAATAAATAAATCCTTAAAAGAGAAAAAGAAAATATTCTCAGGGGAAGCTTTTAAGACTATAAATTACAACATTTTATTTTTTTATTTATTAGGTTTATAGTATCTAATGGTCTCTATAGCGTAGGTTTCATGGATAAATGAAGGCATTGTTCTAGTCATCTGTTCCCTTTGGATAGGCCATTCAACCCCTTAACAAATTCCATGTTTATTATAAAACTTAGAATAAAGTTAGAAGGAACATTATATTAGCTATTTCCAAACATTGAATAGTTTCAACCTCTGAATCCCCACACCTAATAACATAAAAAAGAACTTATCAATGGGGTGAAAATGATGCCTAATAATAAGTTTCTAAATAATAGGTTTATTATTATTTATAGGCTTATAAATAATAAGAGGTTAATAAATGATCTTTATTAATATGATCATTATGTGCCAAGCACTTGACAAGGATCATTTCAGAGACTTCTCACAACCCTATGAGGTAGTTACAGGTATTATTTCCATTTACCAATAAGGAAACTGAGTCTTGGGAGGAGTAAAGATCAAGGTCACAGAGCTGCCAGGCAGTGGCACTGGGACCCAGTTTTGGTTCCATGCAGGCAGGGCCTTTCTGCTCACTCCTCAGTCCCACCGCCTGGCCCAGAGTCCTCAGATGTTGTCCAGCGAATCAGATTCTTGCATATGAATACTGTCATTATAGTCTGAGGTAAAAATTGCTTTCTGTTCTAATTCCCAGTATACTTTGAGACATTCTTGAGATTTGTGAGTAAATGCAAATGTTTTACTTCAAGTATACAATATACTTTTCTTAGGAACATGAGAGAATTTCAAGAATCCTTGAAGAGTTCAAGAAAAAAAAGAAGGTGAGTAAAACCATTTTCTTCTTCAAAGTATATTCTTATCCAGGCACAACTGACAGACTTTAGATTCTTTTAGCTAAAATACTTCTTTTTTTGTATTTCTTAAGATGCCCCTTGTTAGGGAATGGGGGTGCCCGCTTCTCCTCGTCTCTGTTCTGATTACATTCTGCTGTGTCCTGGTGGAGCCACCTAGAGACACGAGCACTGATGCAGAACTCACCACCCACATTTCCTTCAGAAACACGACCTTATTTTGCATGTTTCCAACTCCATCCTTAATTACACCAATCAGTAGAGGCCCAAGAGAGCTTTTATTAAATGTTTCTATACTTACTCTTTAATGTATTTTAAACTATTAAAGTTAGCCTTGGCTGGTGTGGCTCAGTGGGTTGAGTGCCTGTCTGTGAACCAAAGGCTTGCCAGTTCAATTCCCAGTCAGGGCACACGCCTGGGTTGCGGGCCAAGTCCCCAATAGGCGGTGTGTGAGAGGCAACCACACATTAATGTTTCTCTCCCTCTCTTTCTCCCTCCCTTCCCCTCTCTAAAAATAAATAAATAAAATCTTTAAAAAAATAAACTACTAAAGTTAAAGGTGCCTTTCTCAAATTTGCTGTGAACCTAAAACTACTCTAAAAAATAAAGTCTATTAAAAACTGGTTTTCTTACAAGGCAGATTTTGAAATCTGCTGCAGGAAAATCTTCTAGGAAGGGTCATTTCCTGGGTGTTACTGTATGTGTCTGTTTTGGGGCTTTGTTGAGGCAGAGGCTGACAGAACAACTGTGTTTCTTTTTTAGGATCCTACATTTCTGGAAAAAAAAGAACGCTGCGATTATCTAAAGAATAAACTTTCTCACATAAAGCAAAGAATTCAAGAATATGATAAAGTAATGAATTGGGATGTTCAAAGTTATTCTTAGACTTTATTTGAAACCACTTTTTGATATGAAACTTCATATTTATTTACTGTCTTTTTTATGTTAGTTTCTGTGATAAAGAAGCCAGCTCTTCCTGAACCAGTTTCTACTTGGTTTAGCTGGAATGCAATGTTAAAACAGGGTGATTTCCCTTGAGCATTTCAGAAAAACAAATTTACCAAGGGCCTTTACTAAGCATGGAGGAAACCCTGTATTCATTTGTGTACAGTCCATGTTGAAATGAAAAGTGATTTAGAGATCACATCCTCAGGTGTGAGAGCAAGTAGAGTATCGGTTCTGGTGCTATAGAATATTAATTTTACCTTTTTGAGTCAGGCACGTTCCTAAGTTTTCTAGGACAAACTTCCCTTCCCGGCCACAGCTTTCACTGTTCTCCCTTACAAGGGGTTTGAATGCAAGATAAACATTTTCAAGCCTAATGATCTTGGGCAAGTTGCTTAAATCTCGCTGTGCCTATTTCTTCATCTGTAAAACACGGCTGATAATAGTGCCTACCTCATAGGGTTGTTAGGAGGATTAAATGAGTTAGTATTTGTGACCTACTTAGAACAGAGTCTGGCCCCTTGTCAGCACTACGCTGTTGTTTGTGAAATCTGTAGAAAAATGTATGTGAGGTGAATAAACTTCCTAGAATTTCTCAAGGAAAGATCCTTAATGAGCAAGGCTGACCAGCTAACCAAAAGGCCGTGTGTCTCATGGCCTTCTCTCCTGTGTTGTTAATAACCAACCACAGGTAGCCTTAAGCAGATGCTTCCCTGTGGTTTTGCGCCCACTGGGGACTTCCCGTCCTTAGCCAGTGTCACTGAGCACACACGTCCAGCCCTTCCTGTTCACGTCACATCACGTAGGACTGACTGTGTGGGTGTCCTTGCCTCTTCTCTCTTGTTTGGACGTTTATCCTCAGGCCCCATGACATTGCCTTTGCTTAGAATCCCCCGTTTGTTTATTGGGATGCTTCATCTTCCCAAGACTTATCTTCACTTTGGGGCTTTATTCAAAAGAAATGTTTTGTATTTATTAGTAGGGACAATGAACTGCCTTAAAAAGTTTTGTTTTTTAAAAAAAAATCATTGCTTACTGGATCCTGTTCAGCAGCATCTATTTTGTAATTTCCCAGGGTTGGAAATACAATTTCTGCTTAATGTAACTGCCGTTCACACAATTGATGTTTGAAGAATTTTCTGAAGTGAAACCACAGAAAAGCGTGGAAAAGCAGAGGGTTAGGAAATGTGGGTTCCTGAATGAGTCTCCTGGTTTCCCTTTGCCGCCGAAATCTTACTGCGTGTTGTTAGTGTTTTGATACCATGGTCCTCCCACTGCTTAGCGCCCTAAGAGTCTTAAGGGGTGAGGCCCCTTCTAGAAGCCCGCTTCCATTAGAACAGCTTCACTTTCTATTTTACACACTGGGCCCCGTGCTCACATTTCACTTAAGAATACCAGTGCTTAAAAAAAAAAAGATAAAATAATTCCATTTTGGTAGACTGTAAAGAGTTAGATTAATATAGAAATGAACTGTTAAGGAAATTTAACTCTGCAAAACTTGATTCTGTTATAATTATAAATGTTATTTTTCCAAAACCAATGTTGTAACACTGAACTTAAGTTTTTTAATGTCTGTACCTAGGCATATTAAAATTGTAATTGTTTTGCTGTTCTGGCATTCCTGTGTTGACCGGGCGTGTTCTTGCAAATATTTAACATTATCATAAAGTAAACTGGAAAATCATTGAAAACCTGTAGGTCATGACATTCAGGTGGCTATTTTCCCCTCCCCCATTATTTGTAAGAATTCAAAGTCAAGGCCACTGTGCTGCTCTCCACAGGCTGCCGTCACAAAGTACCACAAGCCGACTGGCTTAAAACCACAGCGGTGTCCTGTCTCAGTTTTGCAGGCTAGAAATCTGAATCACGTTGTCAGCAGGGCCGAGCTCCCCGGGGAGGATCCTGCCTGTCCTCCCGTGGTTTCCTGGCAACCGCTGGTGTGCCGTGGCTTGTGCGTGTATCACCTAAATCCTCTGTCTTCACACAGCTGTCTTCTTGTAGGGACACCAGTCGTACTGGGTGAGTGACTCACCTTCAGTAGGATGATCTCATCTTTTTTTTCAAGTCAGCATTTATTCAGTTCAATATAACAAGTGAAATGGTTAAGAACCATTATTTTTCAAATGCCTCAAATATACTGGAATTTTTTAAAAAGTTTTCTAATTACAAAAGCAGTACATGCAAATTGTAGGAACTTTTGGAAAAGCAAAGTGTAAAGAAAAATTTTAAGTACCAACAATCTCACTGCTTAGAGGTGTCTACTGTTAATATTTGATATATTTCCTTCTCTTTGTCTATGCAATTTTTTCCCATCACCATTTATCCCTCCCATACCCTCTTGCACCTCCACCAGTTTTCCTCCCCTGGATGACCTCATCGTAACTGATTACACCTGCAAAGACCCTGTTTCCAAATAACATCACATTCGAGGGACCAGAGGTTAGGTATTCAACATACCTTTTGGGGTTGAGTGGACACAATTCAACCCATAACAGCCACATTCGGCAAGGTGCGATTCAAAAGCAAGGATAATTCCCTGTACATTTTTTCCCTCCACCTGACTTGAACATATATTCTAATTTAAAATATAGTAAGAGAATATGTATGTCTGAAACTTGGAAAGAGGAAAGTATATATTCTTTCTTTTAAAATGTATTTTATTGATTATGCCATTACGGTTGTCCTATTCCCCCTTCATTCCCCTCCACCCTCCATACCCCTCCCCCACCATCCTCGCCCTTTTGTTTAGGACCACGTATCACAAGTTCTGTAGCTTCTACATTTCCCCTACTATTCTTGCTCTGCCCCCTATCTACCTTCTACCTACCGTCTATGCTACTTATTCTCTGTACCTTCTCCCCTCTTGTCCTCTTCCCACTCCCCTATTGCTAACCCTCCAGGTGATCTCCATTTCTATGGTTCTGCTCCTGATCTAGCTGTCCTTTTAGTTTGCTTTTGTTTTAGGTGTGGTTGTTAGTAACTGTGAGTTTGCTGTCCTTTCACTGTTCATATTTTTTATCTTCTTTTTCTTAGATAAGTCCCTTTAACATTTCATATAACAAGGGCTTGTTGATGATGAACTCCTTGAATTTGACCTTATCAGAAAAGCACTTTATCTGCCCTTCCATTCTGAATGAAAACTTTGCTGGATAGAGCAATCTTGGATGTAGGTCTCTGGATTTCATGACTTGGAATACTTCTTTCCAGCCCCTTCCTGCCTGGAAGATCTCTTTGGAGAAATCAGCTGACAGTCTGATGGGAACTCCTTTGTAGGTGACTGTCCCCTTCTCTCTTGCTGCTTCTAGGATTCTCTCCTTCATTTTAATCTTGGCTAATGTAATTCTGATGTGCCTTGGTGAGTTCCTTCTTGGGTCCACCTTCTTTGGGACTCTCTGAGCTTCCTGGATTTCCTGGAAGTCGATTTCCTATGCCAGATTGGGGAAGTTCTCCTTTATTATTTGTTCAAATAAGTGCTCCACTTGTGATTGTTCCTCTTCCCCTTCTGGAATCCCTATAATTTGGATGTTGGAACATTTAAAGATGTCCTGGAGGTTTCTAAGCCTCTCCTCATTTTTTTGAATTCTTGTTTCTTCATATTTTCCTGTTTGGTCATTTGTTCCTTCCTTCTGGTCCACTCCCTTGATTTGAGTCCATTTCCTTTTCATCACTATTGGTTTCCTGTGCATTTCCCTTCATTTCAATTAGTTTAGCCTTCATTTGTTCCTCTAATTTGTGACTAAAATCAACCAGTTCTGTGAGCATCCTGATCACTAGTGTTTTGAACTGTGCATCTGATGGGTTGGCTATCTCTTGGTTGCTTAGAAGTATTGGCTCTGGGGCTTTGAGCTGTTCTTCTTGAGCCATAATGTTTTGGTCTGTTTGCGCCTGTTAGGTATGAGGTGGGGAGCCTTAGGTGTTCACGAGGGTGGGGCGACCCGGGTTTCTGGGTTATGATGTTGTATGTGGGGGCCGGGTCAGAGAGGGGCAATGGCGTTTGTTCCGCTCTCTCTTGGATTTCGGTTTTCTCTGATGCTTCCCGCAAGCAAACCAGGCCCTCCTGGTGCTGGCTTCCGGGTGTGTGGGCCTGTGCACCCTCCAGGACCCTGTGGGTCTCTCCAATGAACTCTGTGAGCCTGGGAGCTTCTCCTAGCACCTAGACCCCGAAAGTCTTTCCAATTGGTGCTTTTAGGCTTTAATTCCCATCGCTGGGGCCCTAGCCTGATCAGTCTGTCTCACTGTTCCCTCCTTCGCTTGGTTTATCTGCGTGAGAATTCGTGACCGCGGTCAGCCAGCTGCCTTTTGCCCTCACTGGGTCCTCCCGTTGCCACCCCGCGCCTGGGATCTGCCAACCGCACCTGCTCTCCTAGGTTGGTCAGGCTGATCCCTCCTGCCTGACTGCTCCGCCGCTGACTCTGCCCCTCTTACCGGTCTGGCTGAATGGTTCATTGTTGTCAGACTTCTGTACAGTTCAATTTTCTGTGTTTTGGCTGTGTTTTTGTTACTAAAACTTTGTTGTCTTTAAACTTGGTTGTGCAAGGAGGCACAGTGTTTTCACCTATGCCTCGATCTTGGCCGGAAGTCAGAAAGTATATATTCTTCACTTGTTCACTTGCATTAGCTGTTTATGTGCCAGATGCTTTCACTGAACAGGTGGTATTGTAGCATTGATGACAGTGGTAAACTGACAGAGACCTCGTAGTTACTGTCTAACAGAAGGTCTGAAGGGGAAGATGAGATATACTTATTTTTATGTTCATTTCTACAAATGGTTTGTGTAATAAACCTGATACTGAGATGCACCAGTGTTCAAAAGATAAACAATATAAGAAAAGTCTGTAATGTTTTCTGACTGTCATCTATCTAAAAGAAAAGAATTATTGTGGGAAAAATTTTAAAGATTAAAAAAAGAAAAATGAGTATAAAAGTTTAGAAAATAAAAGTCCTGCCATATCATATAGTTTCACTCCCTGGTGATATATACTGTTTGGAGCATGTCCTTCCAGTTTGTTTATGGTACATGCAATTATTTAAAAATTATCTACTTTAATACTTTAAATGTGTTTTTCCTAAAAAGAGGACCCGGGAGGCTGCACCAGCGTGTGGTGGGGAAGCCGGGAGAGCCACAGGTAGGAAGGATAGTCAGCCCTGTGGACCAAGAATGTGGGCTTCAGGGCTCGCTGCAACCAAGGCTCCAGCTGCTGCTGAGAGAGCCTGACAGGTGAACGTCTTTGAGCACCAGCTTCCTTATCTGGGGATAAATAATATGGCCTGATGAAATTGTTGTGAAAATTAATTGCAATAATGTACATAAAATACCAGGAAAATACTTGCTCAATAAGTGGTAGCTGGATATTCAAATACTGTTTTCATTCAGTTAAATAATGAGTTGACTACTTTAAAGGTAGAATATCAGAATGACTAATAACAACAATGACAAAAGGCATTTTCAGAAAGTATATAGGTAATGCATTTATTATAGAAAATGAAGATGAGCTTATAGTCTTCCAAATACACACAAATAATTATTCTATGACCCCCAACCCAACAGAGCCACTATTAATATTTTGAAACACAGCCTTCCATTCTTACCATAGGTTGATATGGGGTGGGGCAAAAGTAGGTTTACAGTTTGTATGGAAAAAAATAAAATAATATAAGAATAAACTTTTGAGTACTCACAACTATAAACATACTTTTGCCCCACCCTATATTTATATAAGCATATTATAGGGGAAAGTCTTGGTATTAAGAAAATGTTTTTTAATTATATAGCATGGTGTGTTTTATGTTTTAAATGAGAAATAATAAAATGATCGTGATTTTTCTGAATTTAGAGTTTTCTATTTATTTCATTTTAATACAATTTAGTTACATTACTGCTTTAAAGTTATTGATGTTGTTCCTGTCATATGATGGAAAAAGCAAGGAGTAGGTGTAGGTTTAAACCTCCCTCAGCTCCCCTGAGCAGTGGGGGCAGATGAGGTAAAAGTATCTAAAGTCATACTGTAAACCACAAAGCCCTATTAAAATCCTTACATTTAGTTCCACATACTTTGTTCTGATGTTATCAGTAAGAGCTTTTCACTCGTTGAAGTAAAACTTGAGCTGTTAAGGAGTGTTTGTTATGTCATCAGGGTTTCTCTGGGGGTCTGTATATTCTGGTGCAGCCTCCTGGCTACACAATGGCATTGACACATTCCGATTACATTTCCATCTCCATTTCAACTGATTGACTTGCTGGAGCCAGAAGGTCCTGTGCCAGTGTGAAAGCAGGAAACAAAGGAGAAGGATTAGGAACAGCATTTTCCAATTAACAGGACACAGATTTGGCACCTTACTTTCTTCTTTATTAAGGAGCTGGGAAAGGTCCCCAGATATAAGGAGCTTATCGTGCATTCTACCTCCAGGTATGTAAAAATTTAATTCTGATTGCCCCATAAACTGATTTGTTTAATGGATGTACTTGCTTTGGAGTACTAATGTACTCCAAAGTTATTAGTTTAATAACTATGTTATTAAACTTACCAAGACAGTAAGAATTGTAAGTAGCATGCAAGGTTGCTCTTTTTACACAAAGGGAAACCTTTTTTATGTTACCAATTAAAACTAAGTATTTGTAATCATCGTTTTGTAGGGAATTTGGCGAGGAGAGTTTAGTAGTCAGGCTTCTTTTAAGTTTTTTTTTTAATAGTAATGTTTTAAAAGATTTTATTTATTTATCTTTAGAGGGGAAGGGAAGGAGAGAGGGAGAGAAATATCAATGTATGGTTGCCTCTCGTGCATCCCCTGCTGGGAACTGGCCTGCAACCCAGGCATGTACCCTGACTGGGAATTGAACCGAGGTTGTTTGGTTCACAGGCCCATGCTCAGTCCATTGAGCTATACCAGCCAGGGCACAGTCCGGATTTTTAGTTATAGGGCACAGAAAGCTGAGCTGTGTGATTTAAGAATTTATTACCATCTACTGTCTAGACTGCAGAATTGCTGGGTGGGCCGGAGAACTGAGCTAGAGGCTTTGCAGCAGGAGCGGTGTCCTAAATAGCACCTGAAATCCCATCTGATGAGAACAGCTCTCCTGCCGCGCTCAGTGCAACAAATACACCACCAGCCCTGCCATCCTGTGATGCCAGTGCCCTCATGACTCAGGTTCAGGTGACTCAGTGAGAAGTGTATTGATGGACCCCTAGGTTGCTTGCCAGATTCATCACTTGGAGAATTCCCCAAAAGCATGAAGAGGTTTAGATGCTGAGAGTCAGAAAGAAAACAAATAGCACCTTCAGCACAGTAGTTGTCCTAATTGTAAGTGTAGTCAGGGATTTATCCTATTCAGTTGTAAATAGGCCAGATATACAAATGACAGGCGAAGACAGAATATCTTTAACCTTAGTGCTTCTGGTGCTAAAAAAGAAGGCAGGAAGGGTCACCACTAACGTCCTAGGCATAGGAAATGAGTTCCTGTCTCCAGGTTTGAGATTCAGAAAACATTATCAGCCTAAAGCAATGCAATGGAATAATTTTCTGTACCTCTAAGTGTTTATCAAAAGGCATGTACAAGGTGGTTTCCAGCAGCTTTACTCATAATAGCCCCAAACCGGCAATAACCCAAATGACCATCAACAGTGGAGTTGTAGAAATGGGCAATTATGGTAAAGTCATAAATACTATAGAGCAATAAAAAAAAAAGATGAACTGCTGTTACGTTACATAACAGTGCTGAACAGAAGCCAGATGCGAGTGCACACAGGCACAGCGATGGTGACTAAGAACAGTGGCTACTTTGGGAGAGCCAGTGATCAACAAGGAAGGGGCACGAGGCAGCCTTCTGGGGTGTGGAAAAGGCCTGTGCACTGTACCGGATGGTAGTTCCATGACTATATGTATATTTCAGTATGTATTTCACTCTGCCCTTGAGATTAGTTCACATATGCACTTAAATATGCCTGCTCTGTATCAATAGAAAAGTTAATTTCTGATGGTAGAATTCAGAATAGAGGTTATTTCTGAGAGATGGTTATTGGCTAGGAGGGGCATTGATTTTCCTTGATTCGGTTGATTACCTGGGTATATTCATCAAGACAAGCACTTAAAATTGTGCCTTTTACTGTACATATGTGATATCTCAATTTTTAATAATCACAGGTATATTTTAAGGAAAGTATGTCCCCAGTTTAAAACAATGTAAATTTAGGAACACAGTCCTTTCAGAAATTGAGAACTGCCTCGTGTGCTAGTGGTCTTGGGAAAAAAATTATAAACTTATGGCTAGGGCAACACAACAGTCTTACAACCATTAGTGTAATGGTTCATATTTGAAACCCAAGATTGTGTGTGTTTGTGACTTTGAACCAAACCCCCATCTAAGACGGGCAGATTGTAACCATTTTCCTCCCAAATAGAAAGTCTACAAGAGAATAAACCTGCCCTGGCTGGTGTAGCTCAGTGGATTTGAGTGCTGGCCTGCAAACTGCGAGTTCACCTGTTTGATTCCCAGTCACGGCACATACCTGGGTTGCAGGCCAGGTCCCCAGTTGGAGGTGTGCAAGAGGCAACCGATCACATTGGTGTTTCCCTCTCTCTTCCTTCCTTTCCTGCTCTCTAAAAATAAATAAATAAATCTTAAAAAAAAAGAATGAACCTGAAGGTTATTTATACCTGTTCAAACGCATTTACTCTAACGTTGCATTCATGCCTATGAATTCTCTTTGTGCGTAGGGCAGGAGGCTGCAGGATGTGAGACAGATGAGGAAAATTTTGTCAGTGTGTGAAAAACACCAGCCCTTCCCCTGTTTAAATCTTGTTCGTGATCTGGAACCCCGCCAATGTTGTTAAGAGTCAAGGGTATTCCAGCAATTGTTATTGCTGAAGGGCAAACCTGGGTGAAACCGTGGGACAGTTATGCAGAAGCACCTTTGCAAGTATTTGGAAGGTGCCTGCCATGTGATTCAGATGAAACAGGCTGGTGGAAATGGTCTGTTGCTCTTCATATAAACAATGGTGATATCCAGGAGTTTCTTAGAAACCCTTGGGATTAAGGGTTTAAAATCAGACTGTGGAGAAAGGACATATTGCAAGAACATTATTGTAGGCATCTGATGTCAACACGCCCTATAGCAGTGAGTAATTCTTCATGAGTCATAGTGTCACTTTGCCTATAGGTTGCACCTTGATTCTATTCTCATGATGAAGAATTGGTACTGAATGGTTAGCCTATAGTAATTCCTCTTCGTCTTTGTGACAAAGACATCTGAACTGGAATGGCCACTTAGCTGGTCTTCCCATCTCCATTTTTTTTTCCATTTTTTGATGTCAGCTGGACACAGATGGGCCCCTCCTATATGCAAAGTAGATGCTTTGTTTATACTATTTATGAGACCTAGCCATGTTTTTCTCTTTCATAGAAGTCATTGGTGTGCCATAGGCCCATGAACTTTGTTAGAAGCTGTGTAGTAGAGTGGTTAGGAATACTGCTTCTGGAACCAGACTGGATGCAAATCCTGACCATGCCACTTCCTAGCTGTGTAACCTCAAACTAGTTCCTCCACCTCTTTGTGCCTTGGGTTCCTATTGTATTATATAATGCAAAATATATCACCTCCCCCCTAAAGTTTCTGTGAACATTTAAGTGAGCTAAAACATGTAAAACACTTAAAGCTGTATCTTAGCACACAGTGTCATAGCAAACATTCACAGATTATTCATAAAATATGAGGTCTGTCCACAAGGTATCCAGCCATGTAATATGAAAAACAGAGACATTTATTGAAGAAAATACAAGACACCAGGAACATTATACATAGGATAATGATGCCTCAGTCCCCTTCAAAGTAGGCACCTTGGGACCTCACACAGTTCTCCTAATCGCTATCAGCTGTCCCTTCATATTTTCCTGAATCTCATCGACAGTTTGAAATCTTGTCCCTTTCAAAGGTTGTTTTAGTTTTGAAAAAAAGCCGGAAATCACAGGGTGCCAAATCTGGGCTACAGGGGGGCTGAGTCACCTGGGTGATTTGATGTTTCGCCAAAAAACTTTGCATAAGACGTGATGCATGAGCAGGTGCAATGTTGTGATGAAGCTGCAAATCACCAGTTGCCTATAGCCATGGCCTTCTGAATCATCAGAATAGTTTCTGTGGAGGAATATTCAAGGTTAAAGCAAAATTCAATGCAGATTCATTGCTCTACTCACTCAGACATTTTTAATGTGATGGCCATGCAGTACACGTGCTCACTCAACGGTGTCTGCCAACCCCACTGACTAGTACACTGAAGTCATTGTTCATGCACGTGTGTTCCAGTCCACTCTCCTTGGCTGCCAGGTTACATTGATGTCATGCAAATCGTTCTTGTTACATTGACAATGATTGCACTTTTTCCACAGAGACCTCATGCTTTTATTCTAACAGTGTTGTATTTATGCCAGTGAACTCTTTTTGCTTGTGCTAGGGTGGGAGGCCAAAGAATATGTGACAGGTGGGGAAAATGCTGGGTTCTTTTTTCCTAATTTAAGTATTATATTGTTTATGCTATTACCTGTTGTCCTAATTTTTTCTCACTTTGCCCACCTCCAACCAGCCCACGCCCTCACTCTCACAGTCAGTCCCCATATTGTTTTCCATGTCCATGGGTCATTCATATATGTTCTATGACTAATGCCTTCACCTTCTTTCAACCAGTCTCCACCTTTCCACACTCCTCTTACAGCTATCAGTCTGTTCCATATTTCTATGCCTC